GGGCGGGGGGGGGAGGTGGCGTCAGCTTTGCCGGCTGCACCCGGGAAGCTGTGGGCCGAGTCTCCACGAGCGTCGTTCCGCAGCCGCCTCCTCGTGGGCGACATTGGCCAGTAAGTCTCCTGCTCCCTCGAAGGTGCCCGCCGTCCTCCCTCTCCCCGTAGTTGCCACCTGCAGACCATTGCAGCCCCTGACCTGCCCCTCCCCTCACGCCCAAAGCCAGATTGAAAGCGGCGTTTTTCAGAAATGTTTGACAGCTGCAATTATAACCACTGGTCACATCAAAAGTCCCAAACTATAGGACCAGCTACTTTTGTTCTGCTTCATCTGGGCCCACTGACCCGCTCTACATTCTTTTCTTTTTTTTAATATTTTATTGATTTTTTACAGAGAGGAAGGGAGAGGGATAGAGAGTTAGAAACATCTATGAGAGAGAAACATCGATCAGCTGCCTCCTGCACACCTCCTACTGGGGATGTGCCCGCAACCCAGGTACATGCCCTTGACCAGAATCGAACCTGGGACCCTTCAGTCCGCAGGCCGACGCTCCATCCACTGAGCCAAACCGGTCAGGGCGCACTCTACCTTCTTAACTCATACTTCCATCTTGAAGCCCCTTTCCTCAGTCCTTATCCTGGTCCTGGTCAGATCTACCAGCTTCACAGGGCATCCCCCGATACTGTCATCAAAATTAGTCTCTCCTTGCCCTCCCAGGGTGGCTCAGTTGGTTGGAGTGGCATCCAATACACCAAAAGGTTGCGGGTTCGATTCCAGGTCAGGGCATATAGCTAGGCTGTGGATTTGATCGGGGTGCATAGGGGTGGCAACCGATGGATGTTTCTCTCTTTCCCTTCCACTCCCTCTAAAATCAGTTTTTAAAAAACAAACGTATCTTCAGGTGAGGATTTTTTAAAGGTTAACCTCTCCTTATCTCCCAATATGCAAAATACTTTGTACCTGTTATGGCTTTCATCGCAGCCTATCAGATTTTAATTTGTGTGAGTTTCCTTTTCACACTAAATTATTCGGGTCAGCCTTGGTTCGAGCCTTGTCCCCATACGCCAAGGTTGCAGGTTGTGGGTGTGATCGGGGTGGAGGCACATGCAGGAATCAAGGGTGAATGCATGGGTGGTTGGGACAACAGGTGGATGTTTCTCTTTCTCTCTCCCCCTTTCTTTCTCTCTCTAAACATTAACTAATTAATTACTTAGTTCAGCTCACACATTTATTCAGCACCTATTATAATGAGTCAGGCATGGTGGCAGAAACAGAATAATTAAGAGAATTGCTGAGGTTGAGGAAGATATTGGAAGATATTATGGTTTATCTGAGAAAAGTATCTAAATAATAAAAGCTCAAGAGACCTTGAGGATTATGAACAGTGCCTTATGTGTCATAGATGCTTAATAAATATCTAAACTGGATGGGATGCTAGGATTGTTTATTCATTTGAAATATTATAAAAACATGAACACCTCTTGTGTACTAGAATGCTAAAGCTATAAGTTTTTAGAAATCCACTTTTTATTGAGCTCACCTTGGTAACATTATTTCTGATTCCCACTACAACCCAGCAAGGCAAGTATTATTATCACTATTTTGCCAATAAGGAAAGTGGGCTTGGTAAAACTGAATAATTTATCCAGGACCACACAACCAGCTTCCAATCTAGTTATGGGATGAAACACTATATATGCAAAACTAGATCATTACAAATTAGTGTGTTTAGTATGGAAAACTCAAGGGAGGCCAGCTAGAGAAAATGGGCTTGAAATGGACCATAGCCTATAAGCAACTTTTTAAACTATTTCTATTGACCCTTTTTTCAGGGAGAGAGAGAAGGGAGAAGGAGAGAGAGAAACATCCACGTCAGTAAGACACATCAATTGGCTGCCTCCCTCATGCCCCCACTGTGGACTGAGCCTGAAACCTGGGCACGTGCCCCCACCAGGAATTGAACCAGCAACTTTCTGGTACACAGTACAACGCCCAACCTACTGAGCCACACAGGCCAGGGCCGGCCTATAAACCTTTGAAATATTATTCAGCTATATGAATAAGCAAAGAAATGCAAGTTAAAAAATGACTCTTTCCCTACCAAATTAGCAAACATGTTTTCAATATTCATTCTGAAGGCAACAGAGAGAAACCTAGAATAATTTATGCCAAAAAAATATAATCAGTAGTTGTCCGGTGTTATATTATTTATTGTGTTCTTCTGAATTTTCCCAATGTTCTACAATAAGCACATATTACCTTTGTAATCAGAAAATTAAAACTTTAAAAATTGAGTAGGCTTTGGATGCCATGTGTGTAAATTCTCCACTTATAGTATAAAGACATGGGGGTGGAATGGGCATTCGAGGAAAGATAGGGAAATGCCAATGACGAACTTAAAAAAGAAAAATAATTACCGCAAAGAAATGAGAGTATGGGCCAAGATTTGGCTCTAAGGATTTTCATTTCTGGATTGCAGCACTAATTAAGAGCAAAAAAGGATAAAAAGTTTACATGTCCCACATGAGGTACAATGGAATACATGCAGCCATGTTGTTAAGTGTCTTTTCTCAATTAAATGTGTTCATGAAAGTTTTTAAGTTACAAAACAACATACACACGGGATTCCTCCTGGAAGACTGCTCCAAAGTGTCCATAGTGGTTGGTTCTGATGGGTACGGTACGATCTGGGTTTGGGTTTGTTTTGCTTAGCTTGCCTTTATCTTCTAAAGCCAAACTAATTGTTTTTATAGGAAGTAAGTTGTTTAAAGTTCTCTAAATATGCCTCAGCAACAAATGACACTGCAAAGCGTTTTAAAGTGCTTTACGCCTTTCAGCTTGTTCATAATTAACAGATGATCCATTTATCTAGTCTAACAAATTGGGTGAGATTACGGCCTTCCCGCAGCGTTCCCACCATCCCGGAAGCTGGGAAGGCACAGAACAGCCCGGCGCCCTCAGCCGGAGCCCCTCCCGCGGCCGAATACCAGGCTGGGAATTACCGGCATCTACTTCCGGAGGAGTTAGCCCTCCGAGCCGGAAGTGAATGCGGGAAGGTGCGCAGCATTCTGGGTAGAGTCTTGAGAAACGTGTTGGGTCCGCTGCCTGTTACCAGGGCAACCGGAGGCGATGGACGGTTACCCGCGGAGTGGGGTAGTGAGCCGATAGGCTGAGATGCCCGAGAGTTTGGGAGGCGCGGAGGGGCAAGCGGCCCTTTTAAGAGGCGGTCGTGCTAATCGGAGGTCGTCCGGGCCTGGCCCGCGGGAGCGCC